GCCTAAGTACATGTAGATGTTGTCCAAATTATAATTTGCATAATATATTCATGTACAAGTATAATAATTAGCATAATATCTTGTGTATATAGATACATTAATTTAATAGCATATCATTGGCAAAACATTTTCATATAATTTTGCATAATTTTTCATGTACTGGGTATACCGGTATACATGTACAACAAGAATATCATATGTATAATATAATTCATGATTTATTAATAAGAGTACATTTCAGTTATGCAGGCAATAACAGGGACATATTAATTAGCATATCATTTGCATAATGTGACATATCAATCAGAATTTCATTTGCATAATATATTTATGTCCAGCACATATAAATTTGCATATTTATTGCATATTCATTGTCGAAGATATATTAATTAGCATATGATTAGCATAAACTAATCATGTAAAGAATATTATTAGCATAAAATAATCATGTAGAGTACTATTAGCATATAATAAGCATGTACAGAGTATTATTAGCATATTATTAGTATAAAATATTTATGTACAGATTATCATTAGCATATTATTAGCATAAAATAAGCATGTACAGAGTATTATTAGCATAAAATAATCATGTAGAAATTATCATTAGCATATTATTAGCATAAAATAAGCATGTACAGAGTATTATTAGCATAAAATAATCATGTAGAAATTATCATTAGCATATTATTAGCATAAAATAAGCATGTACAGAGTATTATTAGCATAAAATAATCATGTACAAATTATCATTAGCATATTATTAGCATAAAATAAGCATGTACAGAGTATTATTAGCATAAAATAATCATGTACAAATTATCATTAGCATATTATTAGCATAAAATAAGCATGTACAAAGTATTATTAGCATAAAATAATCATGTACAAATTATCATTAGCATATTATTAGCATAAAATAAGCATGTACAGAGTATTATTAGCATAAAACAATCATGTACAAATTATCATTAGCATATTATTATTAGCATAAAATAAGCATGTACAGAGTATTATTAGCATAATGTATAATATATTAACATACAGGGTATTGAGTAACTTTTAAATACATTGAGTTGAGGAATAAGACTAAAAAAATATATGTGCAAA